ACCTCAGAAATAGGCAATTTTCTTCAGACAGTTTAAGCCATGGTTAGACCACTCTTCCAACATTTAGATCTGAGCAAAACTTCCACAGAACAGCTTCTAGAAGAGGGGACAGCCAAATTTTAGCTTGCAAGGATATGCTGCCATTGCTTCTTTGATGTTAAACATTTTATTTCCTTCCATTCGTTCATTAACAGATGTTCTCCAATGATCCTCTGCTTTTATGTAATCTGTGTTATATCCTTCTATTATTGTATACATTTTTCACCATCTTCATCTTCTCATATGGAGGCTGATTGCACATTTTTTAAATGGATTTTTTCATTGTAATTACAGAAATATTTAACCTAAAATTTTGATGTTTTAAATCTTCTATTTGATAACTCTTATTCTTTACAATCTTAATTTCCAAGATTTCCAAGATAATAAAGTCTTTTGCAGTATCAGAAGAGGTATTTTATCCCATTGATCTCGAACAGTTTTCCAAAGTCTGTGGCGGTTGCAGGTTGATGTTTGGACAAACTGGTTTTTTAAAAGTCCTAGAGTGCAAAAATACATTGGTGATAGATAAAAAAATTTAGTAGGATATGAGCGAAGGATATGGCCTTGATATCCGTTTCTTGTTCCATTTTTTACAGGAAATTAACAATAGATTTTCATGTATCGCTGCTTGTACTGTCTTGATGCAATTCTACTGATTGATCACGTTGTGTGTAAAGAGAAGGTATTTCATATTTGAAAATTGGGTATAAACATATTTTTGGTAATATGTGATGCTGATCTTAATGCATTTCTCCACTATCTTCATTTTTAATTTGCGGTTATATGAACAACCAGCAACAATCATAAATCCCCAGAAAAACGTTTTTTAGATTCCTTGAAACATGTTTTAAGTTTTCCCCTTCTCTTTGATGATAACAAATGGATCTCTTTTTATTGCAGTCATTTAAGTACACCCAAGATTCATCTATTATGACAAAATTTTTCCATTTTTTTTTTTTGGACAAATGCTTCTCATAAAGAATTCTGCAGCGCATTTTGCGATATGTCATGGAGAAAGATGATGTACATTATGTTTTTTGCCTTTTTAAGATTCAAATCAGAACTAATCAATTTGTTTACGATTGACACAGAGCATTTTAATGGTTTTGCTACTGGCCTTAACGGATTTTCTTTTAACATTAGAGAACTTACTTTTGCAATATTCAAAACATTTAATTTTTTCCTTGGATATCTATTTGGAATAATTTTTCCACTTGAAGCTAATTTTAATGTTTTTCTCTTTTGTTGTTGACATTACCTATCATAGCTTTCAGGGCTGTGGTGTCGTTAGGGAAAATGACCTACTCCGACTCCGCCTTCCTCATATATACATATATATGTAAACATATACACATGGGTTACAGCTTATTTTTTTAATATAAAAAAAGTAATATATGCTACAGAAAAAAAATTGATGACATAGGAAATTATTTATATTAATTAGCATTTATTATGAAATGGAAAAACTGGCATTAGTTATTTCTAAGAAACAGCATAGCTTCGGCAAAATCTTCTTTGTTGGAGGGCCATAGATTTAATTTGATAAACTTCAGAGCTGGGAAGAGTCTTTCCACACTAACTTGAGTAGGAGGAAGAGCTGTTACTGTCAGGGCTACTTCTTTTAACTTTTCAGGATAGATTTTTATAAGTTCTAAAAGAGATGTCTTGCAAGCGCAATCATATTTCTATATTTCTTCAAAGGTCGTGTAGAAATCTTGTTTGTATTTTTCATTTTCATATCTAAAGGCTCTTGGTTCTTTATTTTCATTCACTTCGCCTTAGCCTTTTCAATATTATCCAAAAATATTTCTCAAAATCTAATTCATCACTGGAAGAGGATAATAGAGACTAAGTTGCAATGTCTGCAGTTTGACTGTCCTGATTCGAACTCTTCAATTGTTCTGAGAATAATTTCATTCTTAATGAAAGTTCATAGATGGCTTTCTTTGCCTTTTTAATTTGTTCGTCATCCAAGAAAATTTGGTGTTTCGGAATTTGGGAATAGGATTAATATTTCAAATTTAATGAAAAAACTCAGCGATATAGAAGATGTGTGTTACCAGAAGGTGGGTCAGATTTAGATTCCATACCTTCATCTTATCTTTATTAAATTAATTACAAATAAGTTTTAAAACACTTAAGTAGAAGAATCTAGGCTTATTCCTGACATATGAGTAGAAATTGTCATTGATTAAATAAGAGTCGGTAGGGAAAATGACGGACTCCGACTCCTAGAATTTTAATGACTCCGACTCCCTCATATATATAAACATATACACATGGGTTACAGCTTATTTTTTTAATATAAAAGAATTAATAGATGCTACAGAGGGAAAAATTGATGGCATAGCAAATTATTTATATTATTTAGCATTTATTATGAAATGGAAAATTTGGCATTAGTTATTTCTAAGAAACAGCATAGCTTCGGCAAGATCTTTGTTGGAGGGCCATAGATCCGATTTGATAAACTTCATAGCTGATAAGTCCCACACTAACGTGAATAAGAGGAAGAGATGTTACTGTTATGGTTACTTCTTTTAACTTATCAGGATAGATTTTTATAAGTTCTAAAAGAGGTGTCTTGCAAGCGCAATCATATTTCTCTATTTCTTCAAAGGTCGTGCGGAAATCTTATTTGCATTTTTTCATTCTTATATCTAAAGGCTCTTGGTTCTTTATTTTCATTCGCTTTGCCTTAGCCTTTTCAATATTATCCAAAAATTTTTCTCAAAATATAATTCATCACTGGAATAGGATGATAGAGACTCAGTTGCAATATCTGCAGTTTGACTGTCCTGATTCGAATTCTCCAATTGTTTTGAGAATAATTTCATTCTTAATGAAAGTTCATACATGGCTTTCTTTGCCTTTTTAATTTGTTCATCATCCAAGAAAATTTGGTATTTCGGACCTACATATATTGAACCCAGCAAGATCTCATTGTCTAACAAACTAGTTTCTCTTTTCGTCATTGAAGAAATGATTCCTTCTGCAATAAACCCTCCATCTCAGAAAGAACAAACAACCCATTCTTCCATTCTTGCCTCCTGTCAATTCTTCAGATTGCAGCTTTTTTGTGGCTATATACAGTGTAGAAAGAAGAATTTCCAATTCTGCAAGAACATTCCACAGTCCTCTGTTAATGAAACATTAGGGTTATCTACATCTTCTAAAAAGGTTCTTAATCTAGAAACCTGTTTGTCATCAAATATGTACTTCCTTATCGCGTTGCTTGATCAATAATTGCTCCTTTTCCAGCTCGCATCAATTTTTGCTGCTATTGCTGCTTACCTAAATTTACCAGTGAGATTTGTAACTAAATGAAGTAAGTAAATAAATCAGTTTAATCACTAATGGCAAATATCACATCCATCCTCCTCCCTTATATTTATTTATTTGTATGTTAATAAAACAGAAAATAACTATTTATTAATGTATATAGTTCATAAATAAAAATAATAACTCAGCTTGTCAATAATTTTTTCAATTCATTTTAACTTCATCTCAAATTCAAACTGTCCAACAAAAACTGGAGTCAGAGTTGACCTGTTTTTAGCGACCTCGAGCTCCGACTCCTTTTACCCCAAAATCTGCCCGACTCCGATCCACAGCTCACAGCCCTAGTAGCTTTAGATATAAAAAAACTATGGCTTTCACAATGATATTAATAACTAGATACGAATAAATTTCTTCAAAAAGAACACAAACATAAACTTCCCTCCATTGCATCTTTAAAAGCAACATTTTGCATGAAAACAAAACTGTGAAGTAGCAGTCAAGAATTTATACTTCCAAAAGTATAGCTGCAGTTAAAAAAAAAATTCCCAGCAGAAGATTCTTTTTTTAACGGCAAAGCCAAATCATCTAAAAAGTGTGCGAACAGCCTCTGTAATAAAGAGCTTATGTCATGATCTATTTCAGTTAGCTAAGAATCAATTCTATGTATATTAGCAAAATTAGATCTAATGCTCTCTTCCTCAACATCTTCTCCTTTTAATAACTCATTCAAACCCATTAAAACACTCTGTATATTAGCTGTTATAGATGAACATTTTTGAAAAAGCAATTCAATTTTCTGAATAATATGTAATTCAAAAAACATACTTTTAAAATCAAGTTCAGGTCAAACATAAAATTATGCAAGACCACATGTTGCATGTCCTCTTCTGACCTTCCTCTATACACAGGGTATTTGATTATTGCCCTGGCCTGCATTGTCTCCAGACCCACCCACTGAAAACATCTGATCATGGGTTGCCGGAAGACTGGCGCGCAACCCGTCTCCAGTTAATGCGGTTGATGAAGTGTGGAATAGACTTGAAGCAGCATGGAATGAGTTGCCCGCTTCTATCATTCAAGCCTTGTTCGACTCCATGCCTAACTGGGTAAAGGCCATTTTAGCTGCCAGGGAAAGCAGCTGTCTCACTCTTGTAAATTCCCAAACTGCTCACAAATTTAATTATTTCATCTTCATCCGATACTGTTTATGTACAATAAATATATTTTTTGTATTTGCTTTCCTTCACGGTGTTGCAATTTTAATGACCAGCAATGTAAATTAAATCATTCAAAACAAACAGAAAAAAATAATATTTTGTTTATATTATTTTAATGTTTTAATAAAAGTCAATAATGGGAAACAGAAGATTTAACAATTTTTTTCCTAATGGATGATTTAATCATTACTTTTAGAGACTCAGTTATGATTAGACTCCGATTATGTACAATTAAATTGCATACTACTATGGATTAAAACAATTTCTAAATAGTACAACATCATCGGCTATCTTGTTATCTCGCATATTTTCTTCTCCTTTTTGTATCTTCTATAGAAATTTTGTTTTTTAGTGATCGTTTGTAACAATAACTTAACTAATTTTTTACTTTTTTTCAGCAAACCCCTGTTAATCAGGATTTTGAATGCATATATAAAGAATTATAATATACTAAATACATACTTATTTTTATTCACTCCACTTTTCCATCGCTGAACACAATTATTCCGATCCAAAAGAAAAGGATTTTTTGTCTGAGGTACTAAACCACATAAAGAATACAGAATTATAAGTAACAGCATTATTTAAAATATAAACAGATATGCACTTCATATTTATAACTGGTGTGTTTAGAAATATTCCAATGCTAACATTAAACACAAAGATAACTGTAGAACAGCATAAAGCAATACATAATGCTAGTTTTCATATTTCCTCATTCTTCAATATAGAAAACACTTTCTGAAAAACTTCAAAAATGAAAACAACTGATTTTAAAAACAATGCAGAATGAGGTTAGGAACTGACCCCATTTTATTTAACAAACAATTAATATTCAGCTTCTTTTTTGTGTTTTGTAAAAATGATTTTGTTGATTTCTACTATTTTATTGGGCACCCCCATTTTAATGGAAGCCTTTTTTAGAATACTATGAGTACAAATTTCTCACAAGTATTAGTTCCAATTTATCATTGTTCTGTCAGCCACATTCCGTGGACCATATCATGCCCTTTAATACATTTTTTTTTTTTTTTTTTTTTTTTTTTTTTTTAAACAGTAGGATTCCATTAATTTGAAAAAAATCTCCTGATTGCTGTTCTGTAGAAAACAAGTTTTAAATTTTAACCACTTTTTCAAAATACATGAAAAATATAATAATAGTTAATTTATATGTGTAAAGATCATGACTTATAAAGATCGTGACTTGTAAAGATCATGACTTGTAAAGATTGTGACTTGTAAAGATCATGACTTGTAAAGATCGTGACTTAAAGAGAACGTGAAATATAAATAATAGGACAAAAACTTGCATCTTACGGTGTGGCAACAAGAAGAGAATTCGGAAGATTTTTTTATATATAGTTGTAAGAGTTTTAACTGTAATAGTTAGCAGTTAAAAAATTTTAATAGTTAAGAGCTGCAGCATTTTATTTTTTTGGTTCTGTTCTAAAATTCAAATAAAAGTATTTTGTTCATTCTGAAAATTTAGCTTTGTTCTTTCTACAAGGTTCAATATCCGTTATATTGAAATAAGGAAAGGATTTTTACTATATCTTTGTTCATAAAAAAAGTGTGGCTTATCGAGAATTAGTCAGGGTTACATCAAATGAAAACACAGATGTTATGATTATTTTATTAGACCATGCTCATCCTTAATTGGCGCTAAACTTCACTTCTTGGCAACAGTTTCATGGTTGATGGGATAATATGAAAGTACTAAAAATTTTACACCATAAATTAAATTTTCCAATTAATATATTTAATTTAATACCATTCTCACTATAGCTTCTCCATTCTAAAATATTTATAGAGTTATATATATATATTATTATTAACTCTATTTTAGACTTACAATAGATAGTAATTCACAAATTTATTTTTAATTGCTTAAAAATCTGTGGAAATAGAGCAGGAACTCCACTTTAGAAAGACTTAACTGCCAAAAAGCAAAATATCACTGTTATGATATGTATCTGCTGTTTAGCAACACTTGCTTCTTCTTATTTTTCTATGATATCTGCCATTTGGAAACACAGGCTAAATATGTGAAATTCTTTAGCATGGCTGCATAAATACGTAACAGTAAAAATAACCTAAAGCCAGCTAAAAATTCTAATGGTAAAGCAAAAGTGACTGCAAATGCTAATATGGGAAATTGCCATAGTTGTGTGAGAGGGGGTCAGCATGATTGAACAGTGTGTAAATTTTGTAATGCTATTTTTTATAAGTGTAAACAGAAAAATCAAATCACGATGGTTCCTCACTCTAAGATAAACGGCGATAAAAATCAGTTCCTCATTATTCAAAGGAAGATAAGATACATGAAATACTATTTCATTTTACTGATAATGCAGAATACTCCATAAATTCAATTGGTAAATAAAATGTTTCACCTCATAAGGAAAAGGTTTTCATTTTTATTGAAAAAAGAAAGTATTATGGAAGTCGCTTCAGGATGGTTTTACTCTATTATTTGTTATGGCACTGAGATACTTCTTTCAACAATTTGAGGTAAACTCCATTAATGGAACACAGCAATAAATTTTTATTTAACACTCAAAAATGGCGACATACAAACAAGAAGAGAAAACATATTCTAACTTATATAAAATAAAAATAAATGCTCTCTTCTTCATACGAGAACTGCGTGCGGCTCTCGAGCCTGCGTTTCAAACATTGCCATTAACATATGTGTTATTCTTTGTCTATTTAAATTGTACAAGAATTTAACAACAGTTATTAGAACTGTTACAGCACCTTCAAAAAATTTTTCCCTAAGAAAAAAAAATAATTTTCATTCTTGTTCTGATTTTCAGAGAAATTTAATTCTATTGAAAAGGTTGTGTGTAGTTAAAGTAACTCATAAAAATGTTTCAACTTCAGCTATTGATTGCAGATATAAAATATACAAATATACTCATGACAGGTTCTGAACCTTAGGAAGTGGAGTGTCTAAATTTAATTAATCTTAATCTGATTCAGAAAGTAATTAACGAATTCGATAATGTTTTCAGCAACACATTAGACTCTTATAAGGGATGCATAGTATCATTTCTTGATCCTGTTGTTAATCCAATTCTCTGTAAAGCAAGAAATATTCCTATTCTCATGCATTCAAAAACTAGCACTGCTTTTAGATAAAATTCTCACAGAAGAAGTTACTGATTTCATTGCAAAGCCTGCTTGATCAACACTACTTTTCCTGGAATTAAACAATTTGGTGAAGTTCGTTTATGTGGTGACTATAAAATCATGGCAGATAACTTACCATCTTCCTACTGTAAATCTTTTATTATGTAACTGAAGAGGAGGAATTTATGTTGCAAAAATTAATTTGGCTTTTAGTTGTTAAAAATTTGTTGAAGCTCAGACAATTTATTATTAGAAACAGAAGTGTGTACAAGATTAAATGCTTTCAGTGTGGAACTAATGTTCTGAATGGCAGGGCTTTTTCAATCAGCTTATGAAGACCCATATTTAAAAAGCATTTATTATCTAACTACAGTCAAAAGTCGTTAATCCGGACTCGTCGGGCCTTCGGCGATTCCAGATTATCGATTTTTCCGGATTATAGATCATCAGTTTAAATCTCGTAAGATGGCATGCAGAAATTCTAAAATTAAAAATATGAAACCGTAATTTATGAAATAAAGAACAATTATAATCTAAGGGTATCAAAATTTACAAAAAAAAAAAAAAAAAACTTAATATTTATTTGTTTACTTTATTAAACATTTCTTTCAATGTAAGTTGTTTAAGTTGCTTCGTTTTATGTGATAATACTTTCTCTTCAATTCTATAAACAGACATAATTTCTTGTTCAGTTACAAAGTTCCGCTGTTCAAGTCCCGTAATTACCGTGCCGAGAATACCGACTAACTTGTCAATCGAAATTTTTTCGTTTTCACTAACCTCTCTGTCACCTTCTTCATGTCTTTATCTATTTTTGCAGCAATTCCACTTTTTGTTTGATGGACATCGAAACTTACTTTCGTTTTGTAGATCCTTTGGGAGCTCCAGCATCGTAAATTCTATTTGACATAATCGAAAGTTCAAGTTTACTTTTATAAAATTGCTCTTACAGTCTGCAAAAAATAATAAGCCGGGTCCAACTCAAAGATTAAGGAACAACACAATCATCAATATTAACTGAAATAGATAATTAGATAATTTTAGCATATATACTGTCCGTTATACATAAAATGCGCACGCGAAAACGTATTCTGCGTTTGTGCCCACGCATTTGCGCAGTCATAAAGGTCTTACGCGCACGCGTAAACGCCTATGTGCATGTGTCAATGCGGCGCATGCGCAGAAAGTTTTTAGCTTTGACATCCGGATTATAGATCATTCTGAATTATGGGTGTCCTAATTAACGACTTTTGACTGTATATGGTGTCAAAAAATGCATTTTAACCTTGGAAATGCAGTTTAATTTCGAATAAATACTCATTTTAATCTCTGTTTTCATAAATTCATATTCATTAAGATAGTTCCATTATTAAAAGAAAGCAATATACAGGGTGGTTCAAAACTATATGTCAAAAATGTAAGGGCAAGTAGAGGGGACCTAAATAAGCTGATTTCGTATAGGAATGTGTGTGCAGTGATGCTATATTGAGCCAGTAGAAGAGCACTGATGAGTGCAGCGTATAAAAGCTAGCATGGCTAGCAGATGAGTGCGTTTAGGTGGATTCTTCATTTCCTGCACGGATCTTGAGCAGCATGCATTGTTACATCAATGCAGAGCTTACCGATATATATTTCATGTATGGGGCTGCACAGTGAAATTTATTAGCTGCTCAAAAGATGTACAGGGAGTGATTCCCAGGGGAAAATTAGCAGGATAGTAGAACATTCGAGCGCCTTCGCCGAGATTTAAGCATGGGTGGATTGTTTTATGCGTCCAGGCATGATACTGACATTGCAAGATATCGCAGAATTCCTGCATTGGAAGAAAGAATACTACACACAGTAGAGGATATCCCTTCATCGAGCTCGAGAGCTGCAGGATGTGCACTGGGTGTCAGCCATACAACTGTTTTGAGGACTTTACATGAAGACAGAATACATGCGTATAATTTAGAGAGAGTGCAAACAATGACCCATGACAATTATCTTCCATGTCTCAACTTTGCTCGTTGGTACCTACAGCAGTTGGCAGGCAATCAAACTTTCTTTTTTGCAGATATTTTATTCACTGATGAGGCTACTTTTATGCGGTCGAGTATGTTTAACATTCATAATTCTCACCTGTGCGCTCAAGGTAACCCACATGGCACAATAATACATGCCTACTAAAAGTTTTCCATTAATGTTTGGGCAGGCAATGTGCACAGTAACTTAATATGACCGTACATTCTACCCATCATTTAATTGACCACATGTACAGCATCGTCCTACAGGAGGTCTTAACTGAACTTTTGGTCGATGTTTCTCCAGCTGTTCGCAGACAAATTTGGTTCCAGCACGATGGAGCCCTAGCTCACTTCAGCCAAAACGTCAAGAATCACCTGTACGTGTCTAGAGCCAGCAATGGAT